TCTAAAAATATTTCAGCTACTTTTGGAGAAATAAATGCAGGATTTATGGGCTAAGTACCTACCCACCACTTTTATTCCAGGCAGAAGTAGAGAGCTCTGCTAATGTTTGGGCAATGTGGAGAAGTGAGAAGGAAATGTGGCGCGTGATGGAAAACATTTCTTTTCTAAGTATGCTGCATAGGAATCTGACTCTTAAGTATGAGTACTCCTTAATTAGTTCCTGGAATCTGAGGAACTGCTGAATATTTATCATCTTCAAAACCAACATACAATTATTGCCATCCGTAGCAGCAGCAGCAATAACAATGGCAAAATTATTATTATTGTTATCTATATCGGAACTTTGCAGTTCTATTAACAAGAATTTTGGGGCTGATAAATTTTAGTTCTAACCTCTTATTTTCTTTCCATCAAAAATAAAAAATAATCTCCCAAATAGTCAAAGCAATCATGAGAAAGGACAAAGCTATCACACGAAGGTACCACACGTCCTGATTTCAAACTATATTACAAAGCTATAGTAATCAAAACAGTACTAGCATAAAAATGGACACAAAGATCAATGGAACAGAATTGAGAGCCCAGAAATAAACCCTCACATATATGGTCAATGAATATTTGCCAAGGGAGCCAACAATACTCAATAGGAGAAGGATAACCTTTGTGGTGTCGAGAATATGGGATAACTGCATGCAGAAGAATAAAATTGGACCCGTATCTTACACCCCTCACGAAAATGAACCTGAAGTAGATTTCAGACTTAAATGTAAGAACTGAAACCATACAACTCCTAGAAGAGAACATAGGGGAAAATCTTTTCATTGAACTTGGTAAGGATTTTTTTGGATAAGATTCCAAAAGCAGAAGCATAAAAGCAAAAATTAACAATTTGGACTAAACTAAAAAGCTTCTGCACAGCAAAAGAAACAATCACAAAATGACAAGGCAACCTAAGGAATGGGAGAAAATATTGAAAATCATGTAGAAGGGACTAGAATCCAAAATATGTAAAGAACTCATACACTTCAAGAGCACAATAAATAAATACATACATACATACATACATACATACATACATACATACATAAATAACAAAACCCAAACAATGAAATTTAAAAATGGGCAGAGGTAATGAATACAAATTTTTATGACAAAAACATACACATGCTCAACAGGTATGTAAATAGGTGCTCAACATCATTAATCATCAGAGAAATGCAAATTAAAAATGCAATGAGATATTATCTCACACCTGTTAGAATGGCTAGCATTGTAAGAGCATTGTGAAATAAGCCAGACAGAGAAAGACAAATACTGCATGGTATCATTTATATGTGAACTCTAAAAAAGCCAAATTCATAGAAACAGAGAGTCAAGGGGTGGTTACCAGGGGATGGGAGGAGGGGAAATGGGGAGATGTTGATCAGAGGGCACAAATTTCAGTTATAAGATGAATAAGTTCTGGGGATCTAATGTACAATATAATAATGCTTACATACTTGAAAGTTTAAAAAGAGTAGATCTTAAATGTTTTCAATACCTACACACACAAAAAAGTAATTATTCAACATGATGGAGGGATTAACTAACCTGACGGTAGTAATTGTTTTGCAATATCTAAACAAGTAAATCAACAAGTTGTGTACCTTAAACTCTCGCAATGTTATGTGTCAATTATATCTCAATAAAGCTAAAAAAAAGGTGATAGTAATCTAATCGATAGTTTTATCTTTCAACCTTTATTAGTTTGTTTCCGTTTTTATAGTTTATATGCAAAAATGAGTTGTTTTAATGTAATTGTAACTATTTGAGAAAAATGTTACTGGATTTATTCCTTTGCTCAGCAAATATTTACTAAATGCTTACTCTGTGGTAGTTACTTGTTCCAGATATTTGCAATATAAATAAATGGAAAGAAATTCCTGCCCCTGTAAATCTCAAGTACTTTAGATAGTTCGTATGAAGGTAATACATACCTTGAGGAAAGTAGGGCAGGTTTAGGGGGATTCAGAGAAGGGATATATTGGCTTCAATGAAAATGGGTGGTCAGAGCAGGCCTCATAGAGAAGGCAATATCTGAGCAAATGTTAAATATATATTTCTTAATCAATATTATTATAATCACTAAATTTAGAACTTATTTGGTAGGAATTCTTAATTTTATTCTACTATTGGGAAATTTCTGCTTATTACACACTAAACTTTACATAAATAAGTGTATATGTTATTGCCCTTAGAGAGAAATTTCCCATATAATTTTTAAAAGTTAAGTAAGCATACAATTTTAAAAGATGAAGTAAGATTATTGATTATCTTAGATTGATATAATTGTATTAGCTGAGAGACTTTAAATTTAGGAAAAATTCTTAATTTTTTAGTCAGCAAATAGTGGTTTAAAGATATAAAATTATAGTAATTTTCACTAGAAATCAAATCTGCTTTTAATAGGAACATGGTAAAATAATGCAAAGTACCGAAAACATCAGCTCTTTATTTTTTTCTCTCTTTTTTGAAATTTATTTGAAACCATTCCCCCTCAAAGGTAGTCAGGGTCTTTTTTGAATTGTGGTTCAAATTTAAAGCCAAATCACACAGGATTTATTTTAATTCAATAGAATGTCTCATCTACTTCAAGAAGAAAGCAGAAGACCAAAATATTTACATATTCTTTCCATTTATAGCTAGATAAAATACAGCTATTTCTGCATAATTTAATGTTAAATTACCTAGTATAAAAACCTGGCAAAGGACAGGTACAATTTATTATAATCATAACACAAACCATATAATATGTTTTTTCCTAAGAAGATTTATAACTGTTAAAAATCAAAATATCCTTAATGTGCAATCTATAAAATAATACTTTTGTGCGATCTCTTATAAAAAACATTTTGCAGAGCAGAAAGTTATCCCTTAATTTTTCCTTTACATAAAGCTGAATTTTAATGCATCGTGTTCTGGAAAGACCATAGAATCTTCATTTGAAGGTCTTGCTCTCCTCTCTTAAACTCAGATCTCAATTGTTACTGCCTAAAATGCACCCAAATGATCTTACTTTTCTCCATTTAAAACTTATTCCTCCCTCTGTGTTCCCCATCTCAATCAGTGGCATCACAATCTAGCTTTACCGAGTTTACTGTAGCAGAGGCATCCTCTATACTTCTCTTTCTGTCACCCCCGAAGTCTGATTAATTAAAAAGTCCACTGAAGTCCATACTCTCTGCCCTTCACAATGTTGCCACAGTAAGCTTCTCAAACGCAGAACTCACCATGCTGCCCCAGCTTCAAAGCTCTCTGTCTCCCCTAAGATAAACTAAACCCCTTTGCACAGCATGAACAGCTATTTTTAACTTGGCCCGACCCATGCAGACATTTCACTTTCCACAACAACACATCCCTAGTACCTGTACTGGAGATGTTTCCTGAAAAAGCTCTATTCTCTACATATTTAGGTCTTTGATTCCGTTGTATTTTCTGAACAGAATACCTCTTCCTTTTTTACTCATTCATTTATTAAGAAAGATAAATATCTATGGAATACCTCCTCTGTGTCAGGCGATGGACTGTGCCAGCGGGGTTAAATGGTGAACAAAGTGGATAGACACGGTCCCTGCACACGTGAAGTTTGCACTGCTGTGACTGCACATGCCATCTTCCTTCTAGACTCAAATCTCCATCTCCTATGCCCAGGTTGAGCTAGTTTCTCCAGCTTCTGGAGGACGTGGCCTCTGTGCTTACCTTTGTTGTGGTATTTACACCACACTTATTGTTTTAAAGTCCATCTTCCCCACTAGACTCTGAGCTGCTTGTAATAAGGAGCGGGTCCGATCCACCAACAGACTTTCCTGTAATCCTTAGGACAGTGTTAGCTGTCAAATTAATTTGAAAGGACTTGACCCAAAATTTAAGATTTATGTCAGAAAACTGGGCTTCTAAAAAGGACCACAGAAAATTACTGAGTGCAATTATATTCTTTCTGTTTAGGCTTTACCATTTTTGTAACAGTTTTAAAAGCCCATTGTAATGTATATTTCTGTAATTTACCTGGTATACTGTTAATTTTTTATGTTTTAAAAGAATGACTTCTATCCCTAAAGATGATAGTGTTTTAATAATTTATATTCAGTTCTCATCTTTAAACCTTTAATGTACACTGTAACTAAAGGGTTAAATCATATCTTTGTATTCGTTTTCTCTTGATATAGAAATCACTCTTTCATTGAAGATTTCTGTAAGCAATGAGAGGGGTTTCTTTTTCCTACTGAGTTGCGTGCTAATGCATTATGGCCTGAGGAAGGAACAGATGCCCCACTCTCTTATTCCTAATGCCATGGTCACCTTAGGACTATTTCTATGCAGGATTATTTTTCAGTGATCCTGAGATATATTTCTCCCAGTACAAACTAGTGTTGTATTTTTATGTTGATTTATTCTGGGGAAATAAATTCAATGTCAGTTTACAAGAGTCCCCTTCCTTTAATAACTAGAATAACTACAACAACTCTTCCCTATGTATTTAATAGTAACAACTCATGAATTCTGCATTGAATTTTTTAGTGACAGTGGGGGCACTAAAGGTAACTGGATTGTTATTACATGAATAGGAGTTGCTCTAAATCATTACCTGGAAGAAATGAGGATGTCCCTAATGAAAATCAGGCCATATCAGCCCAGTAGGATTTTAATAAACAAAGAAACATGATTCTCAGATTGGAATTCTATTTCTTTAAATTACGTATGCTAAATGCCATCATCAAGAACCTTGCAAAAGGAGAAAATAATGATGCTAATTTTCAGAGCCTAAAAGGTTTCCAATCAGGATATTGGATTCAGTCTATCCGTGAAGGCTTATCAAACTATTGCACTGAAGTTTGGCTTAGGCAAGCAAAGTAATTATAGACAAGGAAGCGAGTGAGAGTTTTTAAAATGTATCCATATCTAACTACAGGTCTAATTTAATTTCATATATAATTATTTAGAAAGAATTAAATTTAATGTACCTTTTCCAACTCCACCTTGCTTGAAATTTTCCCTGCATCATTACTGTGTCTGAAAAATAAATTGACCCAGTTTATAATATTATTAAAATGTAATTTGGAAAATCCTAATCAGAATGTCAATATTCTTTACCTTGGAACTGATTTTATTTTCTCTTTCTTCTCATTTGCTTCATGTCCATTAACACATTCTGTAAAAGTAAAAGAAAGATAATTTAAAGGAAAGGTTATCAGTGTGTATGTGTGTGTGTGTGTGTGTGTGTGTGTGTCTGATGGAAGCATTACTAAAAATTAAAAATAAACAAATTCACCTGTACTGACATAACTTTCATAGAGTATTTTATAAACGCAAATATCCCCCCAATACTTTTTCACTGCATTAGAGCAGTTTATCAGAGGCAGTAAAATGAAATGCTATTTCTAGACAGAATGTAGACATTAAAGATTCCCAATATTATGCAGGAAAATTACTTCGGTACAAAAGAGTAACCTGAAGGTCTACTGATAAAGACATGAGAAAGAGTTCCATCAGACTGGCTGCAGGATAGAAAGGGCACTCTTCATTTTTTGGTTAGAAACTGTAAATTCAATCATTAAGTTAGGGTAAATATTTGGGCAATGTAATTTCTTTGTATCAATAATGGGAAATACGGAAAGAGAAAGGTTAAATTCACAGCATATATGTATAAACAATTAATTTAAAATATAACCCAGAATTCTTGAGTTTATGCCTATTTCTAATAAGACTAGACCCCCTGTGGCCATATCAACTTGTGGTACCATCTATTTCCAGTCCATGATTGGTTGATCCACTGAAATAAGTCATCTGAGTGGCTTCGACCTCTGCTTCAGCACTGATGATCTGCTGTGCCACAGCCTCCACAATGGGCATCACCATGGCAGTAGTTGAGGTGTTGCTAAGCCACATAGATAAGAAGGCAGTACTGGTCATGAACCCCAATGCCAGCCTGAAATGAGAGGGCTTTTAGTATGAGCTGTGCTCCTAGCCTAACTAACTCTGTATTGTTTAACTGTGAAGGATGTTGTTTGTGAGTTGGGAATTCATTTTTTCAAAATAAGGAAGGTTAAGATTCCTCCCAGGCGACAAACTCTGAGGACAGTCATAGCCAGGTAGGAATTAAAGTGCATATGTAAGAGTGGAATATTTACAAGATTCGTCTCCCTGGAAACCATAACAATCTTCTCTCCCAAAACAGAATAACAATTAAATGTGTAAGCAACTGCAAGTTGGTGGATGTTACAATAGTTTATAATATGACACCAATGTTTGAATGCCTTTTACAGATGACACATCTTCAAATATTAGTAAGATGAGGTGCAATCAGCTTTTGAATTTTGGATCCCCTATTCTTTCTTTTATCTTTTTGTCATACCGCTGTTTATTAATATGTTGCCAAAGAGGAACAAGAGTAAGGAGAGAGATTAATTTTTATAAATCTGCCTTTTACATGTTCACTACTTTGGTTTAATATGTGGTAGGTAGAGGAAATTGTTTAAAATCACTTGCTAAAATGAGGTTTCAGAATATTTTGTAGATTCTGTTATTTGTACTCTCCTGTATCTGACATCCTTGCCTGTTGTCAAGACATTACATTGTCTTCCCTAATGAGTAGTTCTTCTCTCTAAAAAATAACATACCTGAAACTATAGGATTTTAAACCATGTTTACAAGCCTTCAAAATCATACTTGAGAAGAAACGTGATTTCTTTTGAGAAGGAAGTCCCAGGTAATGATTTAAGTACATCTTTCCATATAGAGCCATTTATGGAATGCTCTGACTCCCTTTTAAAATAGGTCTACAAGAAAAAATTTGCACTGTAACTTTCAACTTCAGATAAGGTAAATATTTTCTATGTGTAAAACAAAACTTTTTAGAAATCTACTTCAAAAAGAAATGAATCTTAATAAAAAGAAAACTAGAAATGCTTTTAACATAAGGCATTGGCATGACACAAAGCCTTCCAATAAAAAAAGGCTGGGATCAGATAAGTTCTCTATGTGGTGAAATTCCTTAAATTGAAAAGCCATTTAGTGGCATAATGGACAAGACTCCAGCTCCACTGTGCAGTGCACTACCGCAACCCCTGGGGTCAGTGAGCAGATGGTCAAAGAAAAGAGATGGAACACCATTTCACTCTTAAAGAGTGAAATGCCCTTAATATATATATGTTATGATGTTTTTAAATAAAAAGTATTTTTTGAAAATTTGTTGCTTCTGAATTATTTAATTGTTTGATATTTGACAAAACAGTTGTTCCACATATGATAAACACAGATGTGGTTATAACCTAGAATGAATTATGCAATAGAATTCAGTACAATTTTCTTTTTTTCAAAGAAAGATAAGAAGAACCACCTGAAGCTTTAAAGCATAATTTCATTATGTAAATGATTATGACACTGAGAAGTTTTTAGCTTACATTTATATTAAGAAGTGGAATTAAAACTAAAATAGGCAATTAATTTAATGGAAAATTCATTTCACTGGGAAAATCAGTCAAATGAGTGATCTCGCATTCTATAGATGAAATTTCTTATTTGAGTATTTCACTTTGCAACAGCTCATTTAAAAAGAAAAATGTCTACCTTGGAATTTTTCTGCTCATTTTTGTATTTTGTCAGTAATGTCATAATGTCATTGTCTTTGGTTCCTAAAATCCTCTCTGTGATTAAAGATGCTCTTGAAGAAACCTTAAATGTGCAATCAACCAAATAAACAAGATAAGACTGAAATTGACTCTGAATGTATCAATCTTGTCTGTGGAGGTTTAAGGCTTCTCTCGGCTTTGACTCCTACGGTGCATAAAAGGTGAGAGAGTTGTGTGCACTTATTCCAATCTTTCTCTAATTAGACCTGTGGTGAAAGAAAAGTCGTTTTTCTCCCCTCCTACCACTCAAGTACACTTTACATCACTTTCATATTTTCAGAGAGAAAAAATCATGACATATTGTAGTACAAATGATTGCCTGGATATGCATTACTTATTTGATCATTTGCTCTGCACAAAAATGGTCTATTCAGAATGCCATCCTGGAACAGTAAACACAGTACTCACCATGCTGGGTTCACACCCACCATCATGACCATTCTCAAAGCAATCCTTTTGTGCAAGTTCCATTTTTCTATTGATGTTGCTAAACAAATGACTCCAATTAGCAGTAGGTGAAAATCTTTGAAATAAGCGGATGCCACCTGAAATTAAACCCATGATTATTTATGTTGGTGAGGGGAAAGCAGCATTACATGAGAAAGACATTATTTTGCTGCTCTTAACTTTGACCTTCAACTACATAATCTTTCTATTTGGTTGAGAGAAATGTAGATGTGTTTGAATACAAATTTTAATATGTTCTATATTCTTGCCCAGAAACAGTAGTGTTAAAGGAAAATATACAGAAAAAAAGAGTACCCAGGATAGCAGGTTTTTAAATAGCTGAGTAACATCAGGCAAGTGCCTTCTATACCTTGATTTCTCCATCTGTAAACTTGGGCTAACTGGTTCATGCTCCTATGGTAGAGTGGCGATAACTGATTTGGGACTGTCCTGAGCTGAGCTTCCAACTCACCAATATCTTCATTACCACCCGGTATGCTATATCTTCAGAGTCACTCCTCGTATTTTAAATGGTTATAGCGTCAAAATTATTCATTATAAAATAAATACTCTTGAATGGGCCAATATTTTAAGCTGCTTTTAGCTAACACCATTCAGACATTAGAATAGTGTACGAACAATGTGGACAACCATTTGCAGCAGTATTTAACAAAGAATGCTTTTATTTTTCTTAAAAAAAAAAAAAGATTTTGTGGTTAAATAAGTTTAGAAAACATTGAAATCTGAAATATTAGAATTTTCTGCTCTGTAGGCCTCCTCAAAAACCTTTAAATACTAATACATAGTGTTACTCTCCAAGAGTGGATTCTATATACTATATACTTTTTAAACTTATCTGATCAGAGAAACTTTGTTTTTCAGTTTTAAGGTGGAGTACCTCATGGGATGAATACTCGAGACCTGACTTCAGGAAAGACTTGGCTAAACTGAATCACAAGGCTGTGCTGAAAGAAAAGGGTTATAAGAGGAAGCATCTCTTCAAAAAAAAAATCAAATAATATCTCATAGAGGGAATGGAAGAATTGGAACAAAACTATTCTAACATTATGAAACCATGAAGGGATAAGAAAATCAATTGTCATGATGATTTTGCTATCTTGAACTGCATCTACATTTTTAATACAGCTGACCGAGCTTGGCCTGATTTCCAAAAGAGTAAAAATTAAAAATTGCCCTTGGATCAAGGTGGAAAAGTGGACATCTTCTTTATGTTTTACAAAAAGTTATTTTATCAGGCTTTTCAAAGTTTATATTTATCTCTTTACATTTTGTAGTAATTGCATAATAGAAAGTATATAATTACAGCAATTTATTATTTCATTTATTGATTACTCTAACATTAATAAGCATCCACCATGTACCAAAACTGTCATATGAGCAGGGGATATGGGTACAAATGCCTGAAGGCTTTCCTTCTTCACATCTCTTTAATTCTCAAATATCAAACTTTTCTAAATCAATCCTACTATTTTTCTGTATTGCAGAGTCCTGTTTGTTTTCTTCTTAGCATACCACATTGTGTAAATACTGTTTCTTTACCTGCTTGTTACATGTCTTGAGACCAGAGATATTAGTGTCTAGTGACCATTTATTTCCTTAACTATCGCCTTCATTTGACTGGACATATTTCAAAGCCACAAATGTGTTTTATTGATCACTGTATTTATGGACTTAAGACATGCCTGGCACATACTGGCACTCAATAGATGTTGAATTAATAAGTCTCTAAACTCAAGGAGTTTAAAGGGTATTAGAAGAGGAAAAATAAGTTAACGAAGATGTATAATAGATGCATGAGAGCTACCTCTTCAAGGTATAGTTGAGGTTCAAAGAGTAAGTGACCACTTTTTCCTGGGGGAATTGGGTATGTCTTCTTATAGGATTTGATTACTTGAGTTGATGATTATAAGATAAATAGATATTTGAGTTTTCCTCTGCCCTTATCTTTTTTACAGTTTTGCTCATGGAACTAAGCCCTACTGACCCTATCTCACCAATACTCTGATAATTAAATGAGAGGATAAAGGCATAATTACTTTAAAAATACAAAGAAACACATAGAAAAAAAGTCATTATAGTAAGTGATTAAACACAGAAAGAGGTCCAGGATCATGAGATATTCTTGTTAATACGTCTTTAGATAATAGCAACAGTTGACAGACTTTGTCTTTTAGGATTAGGTAGTAAGCATTTTACACTTTGTGAGCCTTTTTCCACAACTCAGCTTGTCTTTAAAGCACAAAAGTAGCCAAAACCGATAAGTAAATGAATAACTATGGCTGTGTATGTTTCCAATAAAAATTTACTTTAAAAATTGGGTCGCAGGCTGGACTTGGCTCTCAGACTCATGGTTTGCCAATTCCATAATAGATTATGTAAACAAACTAAGGTCTGTAGCTCAGTTGTCTTAATAAAATTAGTTGTTAAACTTAAGAAGGAATTTTCACGTTCTCTGTTTTCTATTGTATTATCTATTCTTTGTTTTTCATCAGAGTTGGTCTATTTGAAGAAGAACATAAGCTACAGGTAGATGAGTTTGTTTGCAGTCTACTTGTATAGGAGATAATATGAGAAGTGGTATTGGTTTGTAAATGACATTGATAAATGTAACTATTTTTGAGGCAAAATTGGTATTTCAAATAAAATTTCTAATGAAATTTAAAATCTGTTTGGAACATCAAGGTAGTTACAGTTCTGTTTCGAGTGTGATTTCATCAAAAAACCTGAGCTTTTGTGATCAGAAACTAGGTTCTGTCTTAGCTATGTAATTTATAACAATTTAGCAACCTTTCTACAAGTCGATCTACTTATGCATGAAATTAAATATTACTTCGCATCAAGTTTTTGAATTAAGAGCCTATATTTTGTTGTTGTTGTTGTTGTTTTTAGAAAATACATACTTAATCTGTATTGCTAAGTCCAATGGTCAATTTACAGTTTTCACATTAATTAACCTGTTAGCAGATCTGACACTTTGGATCATTGCCTCATCCTTAAAACAATTGCTTCGCTTGGATTTCAAGACCCCACACTCTCCTAGTCTTCCTCCTACCTCAATAACCTATCGTTCTTGGTCTTATTTGCTAGTACTTTGTCTTCTCACTGACCTCCTAGTGCTGTTGTTCTCCAGAGCGCAATCCTTTGTCCTTTTTGCTTTACTATCTTCATTCACTCTCTAAATAATCTCATCAAGTCTGAGGGCTTTAAATACCATCTCTTTGCTGATGGTTCTCAAATCTGTATTTCTAGCTCAGCTCTGGCTCATGAAATCTGGACTCATTTGTACCTAACTGCCCACTCAACACTTTCACTTAAATTAAAATAGGTATTTCAAACTTAATGTCTAATGCTGAGCTCCAGGTGTCAGTCTCTCTCCCACAACAGCCTACTTTACCCGCAGTCCTCCCCATTTCAATTGATGGCGACTCCATTTTTCTGGTAGGCAGATCAAAAAGCCGTGAGGTGTCCTGGACTCTTTTCTTCCTTTCAGATCCCATATCAAATCATTCAGAAATTTTGTATAAAAATATATCTATAAAATATATGTATTATACTAAATATCCTTATTAATATCTCTGGTCTCAATCACTATGGCCTCTCACCTGAATTACTGCAAAAACCTACACCTGTCTCCTTTCTACCTTGTTTCTCAACACAGTAATTCAAGTTATCCTTTCAAAATAAAAGTCAAAAGTCTATCATATCATACTTCTATTCAAAATTCTCTAGAGAGTCTCACTTCATTTGGGGTTAAAACCATACCATGGCTTATGTTGGCCCTTTATGGTCCAACCCCTCTTCACATGATCTCCCTGAAATCATCTTCAATCAGTCTCTCCTTCATTCACTCTGCTGCAGTCACACTGCGGACATGCCTAACTGCCTGAAGGTCTTTGCACTGGGTATTTCCCCTTTGGCAATGGTTGTTCCTCATACATCGAAATGGCTACCTCCCTCATCTCCTGCAAATCTTCGTTCAGGTATTTTCACCTCATAGAGGTCTACTCCCATTATCCTATTTAAAACTGCAACCCTCTCCTGATGCTCATTCTCCTGTTCCTTTTTTCCCCATTTTATTGTTTGCTGTCTCTTTTCTCCTAGGAAGACAGAGACATTTTGTCTGTTTATATTCATTGATGTATTCCAAAGTTCCTGGAAGAATCCTAGCATATAAATATTTATTAAATGTCTAAGTAAATGTGTAACATAACATCTATATGTACATATGTATATCTTCACATTTATATATCTAAAATTCATATGTAAATAAATGTATATATACTATTTAGAATATCTAATTGGGTGTACTACTAGTAATAATACTGTTTGGAATATCTAATTGGGCATACTAAATATTTAGCACTTCAAATTTATTCAACATATTTGAGAAAAATTCAGTACTTGTTGACATTCTTTAATACAATGATGTGTTCAGTAAGATACAGGTATTTAGCATTGGCTTGATAAGGTGAAGTTAAAACTATGGTGGCCAAAGAGAGAGATATGTAGGGCTCTGAACTTAGATAAGCATATTAAAAATGCATGATTCTCTTCAATTACAGAGTTGAGATCCCAAAATGCTGCTGTAGGCTAGAATGATAGTTTAACACTATCGAACATACTTTAACTGGGAATATTAAAACTCATAAGACTATTCGATACTTAGTTTGCACCATTGTTTCACATTTATTATTTGATTTGATTGTTACAACCCCTGGATTGTGTGGCATTATCATGCCCGTTACAGAGGAGGAAAAACAAAAAAAGAGTTATTGAGGGACATGATCAGGATCATACAAGTAATTATTGGTGAATGTGAGGTTTTAAGCTCAGGTCTTCTGACTAAATCTCTAGCCCTTTCCTTGTAGCTTTGGTCATCTATTTCTGAATAAAAGATCAGTTGCCCTGTCTGGAGAGAGTATCACAAGACTAAAAAACAGTTTTCTCTCCTTAAAGTCTTAAGGACTTTGATTTGTTGCCAGCTCCATTTAAACTTAACAGGTGAAAAAAGTCACATAAAGTTTAAAACAAATTTAGGCTAAAATATCAGAGGGGAAATGACAAACTCAGTTTGCAGCAGTCAGATGTTTCTAGAATGATTGGTTCACTTTTGTCAATGTACTACTACTACTACTACTAATAATATTGACCAAGATATTGAGTGCTTACTATGTGACAGACATTACTAACTGTTTAATCCTTCAATCTCATTGACAAACCAGCGGTAGTTTCAGCAAGAGAAAAGGTGATGAAGGTGACATTGGAGGTGCGGGTGGGGGAGGGGAGGTGGCGAGGAAGGGAGTTGAGGTCTGAAAACCATAAAGCCTGGAGGCAGGAAGACTTAAGGAAGAGATTATATTTATTTTCAAATCCAAGCAGCAGCACTATCATATCAGGAAGAAAGATGAGGTTTATTTGTGGAATCTTCGATGTCGAAGAAAAGTTTAAAGAGTCAAAGTGACTGAGTTTCAGACTTGGGCTCAATAAAGCTGAGTCATTTAAGTGTGCAAATTCAAAAATGATATGGAATTCCTGATAGGGAATTCGAAGCCTGTCGTCACCTCCCGCATGACCTCATCTGTAAGAGATATTGTGGAGGGGAATCCCTGCCCAGGCTGGAAGACTCAGATCTCCCTTCTAAGTCTGTTAGGATTCCCAGACTGTTAAATTAGCCCGAGGCTGATACTTTCAGGGATAAAAGACTCTTGAACAAGAATCTACAGCCTGACTTATGCAATAGCCTGCTGGCTACAGAAATGCCCTATGATTCCAATTCTACTTGTTTCTGTCTCGGCCTCTTGTAAAAAGTTAATATAGTCAGTTTGATTACTATTAAATCTTAAGAGACAAATTTTAATCTTAAATTAAATTTAAGGGTCTCTGGCAGTAGGACCACCGAAGCCAGCAGAACAGGGGTTTATAATTAAATACCCTATTTGTGAGGACTTGCCAACTCCTTTTTTAAATATATATCCTTTGTTGAGAGCCATATAGCATGTTAGAGCATTTGAGAAACTTCTTAAATTATAGCTCCCAGATTCTGTGGGACAGCAGAGCTTCAGCCTGGGGATGAGAGGAAATAAAGTACAGCTCTGGCTATACTCTCTTCTAAATCAGTGGTGCTTAAAAAAGAGTCAAGATTATGAGGGAGGAGGAAATACAGTAAGAGGAGCAGAAAGGATCAGGAATGCAAAAAGATGAACTTGGACTCTAAAATGGGGGAAGAACATGAAAATAAGAAAGGGAATAATAGCTTCTCCCACAGGATAAAACAAACAAACAAACAAAAAACAAAACAAAACAAAAACTGTACCACGGGTTAGTTAAAAAGAAAAATCTCCACCTACATTATAAGACAGATGAGCTTCATGATAGCAATATTGGACCCTGGAAGAAGATAGAAGTTCAAAGGTGACAAATAACACAGACTGGCATCTTGAACTTAACATCTTTCCTGAGAATGTTTCAGCTGTGGTTTACACAATTGTGTGCTAGGTGGCTGGCGACTGCACGGAGATAGTTATTCTGGTTTCAATACATTTCATGCTTTTAATGGGAAACTGAATTCATTTTCCTCAGATGGGTACTTTTAGATTGCATAAAGGTAAGAAGCACCTCTCAGCATGAATAAACTCCTCTTAGCAAGAACAAAATAGAAATACACGTGAAAGCTAATTTGGCTTTATCTTTCGAAAAAGCAGGTTTCTGGAAAAGAAAACAGGGAAGCTTTTTCTTCATTAAAAACAACAATTGCTTTCCAACACTGTGTCAGACTGAGCTCTGCTGAATACAAAAAGCTTATGCAGAATGTGAAAGAGTTGGCCCTTTTGTTGGGAGAGATGCACCAGGCTTAGATGTCGCCTGGGAAGACTAGACATGCATGTTTCCTATTTACACGCATGACACAAGAAGCTGCAGCTTGCGTTTTGTTTTTGTTCACCTGAAGGTGGACACACATGTGGAATTCTAGAGCAGAGAAACAACTAGAGGACTTATGTGGAAGCCTTAACAGGATTATTGTTCCTTTTAAATATAGATTTTCTCAAGGAAAATATCAGCGTAAAATGAAAGACTATGACGGACATTTGCAAGAGAACTCACCTTCTTAGAAGGCATGATTCCAAACAATGGGAACATCAAACCAGGCAGCAAAGCTGTAACTGACAGAGGCAAAGCTTCCGTAAGCCAAAATACGGCAACGACGAAGAGTGTGTAGGCACATTCTGCTTCCTGGAAAAGACAAAACGCAAGATGAAATGATGAGGCTGGGAAGGCATCAATCAAATTGCAATTACGTTTGCTAATTGGTGCCATGTCACAGAGAAAGTAAGAAGAAACTCCGAAGGCCTCTGCACCTTTGAATTGGGCAGTAAGCTGCCCAATTTCTTGGGGGTTCTAAGAGCCAAAATTTAATACACATGAAAAACCAAAGACATAAAATTAAAGCCTCATTCATTAAGTTTCCTTCACATTTTCTTTAAAACAGATGACAGCATATAGTCAACTTTCTGTGCTTCGTATCAGTGCATGTGGAAGTTAGGGCTCACCTTTATTTGGCCTATGAAACGCACTCCTAGTTCTGCTGGAGTGCGGAAATGGCCAAGTTACTGCCTTTTCTCGGGCAGGACACATCTGCCTTTAAATTGTATTCCTTGGTGCCTGGTTAGTTGGGACCCACAAATGCCCGCCTTCCTTTCCTTCTACTAAAAGGGGGAAATCAACCTTGTACAATCAACAAAGTACAAGCAAGTACTTTCATAGATGGAAGGACAGTGTCAGGTTACATAGCATGGATGAGCTCTTAAGCGACATGAACCTGGAGGTGAAGAACCTTCTGCTTTGCTTTTTAGAAAGACAGCTGCTCCTGGGGAGACACAAGGAGACTCAACAGAATTGAGACTCTTAAAAGAATCTGCTGCTTTGCTAGAAATAAGATTGTGAGTTTCTGCTTTAGGGCATTGTTAAGCAGTGGTTGAAATTCATCATTATATTTGGCTTACGTAAATAATTTTGATATGAAATCACCCAGTAAAATCACTTAAAACACACTAAGTGATCAATAAAGATTATCATCTATTATATATGGCTTTATTTTGTTCTCATTATGCTTAATCTCTGCAAAATTCTTGGCTGAATTTGAAGAATTTACAAAAACTGTTTCAGTTTAATGAGGTATTTTATTTACAATTTTCCCAGGGTAATAAAATTTCTAGCACTGCTGCTCTCTGACTCACCTACCTTGGGACGATTCCTCCAGGCTTTGATATTTACTCCCCCAGTCCCTGCACTTTCGCTGGGCTTCTAAAAAATCCTTAATAAACCAGAATTATGTCATATCTTTACTGTGTTATCATTTTAAAGGAGAAAGAATAAAGGTGTTTTGATGCTGACAGTTTTATACAAAGTCTGCCTCTATAATCTTGATAAAAAGTAAAATAGCGAAACAAAGCTGAGCCTTGACTGAACCTTCCTAACTTGCTCTGGAGAGAATTTGTGAATACTAGCTTAATTTAAAATGCCAGTATAACTTGCTCTGGAGAGAATTTGTGAATACTAGCTTAATTTAAAATGCCAGGAGAAAGACCAGGCTTGCATTTTCTCTTAGTTAGAACACACATGAATATTCTAAAAGCTTCTCTTTGTGACTTTATGTTTTCTATCGTAGGATAGAAAGCTATCGAGAACCTAGGTTTCAAAGATAAAATGACCCTTTTACCATCTTGCTCTTTAGGCACAACCAGTCAGTCAGTCTCGTCCTCTCTCTTCCCCTGTCATTTTACCTCTCAAATCTGCCCCTCGGCTTCTACCTCATTTCTTCCACTGCAGGCAAGGCTGTTCCAAAACCAGATCCAGAGACGCATGGACATGGACAATGGACTAGTGGTTACCAGAGGGTAGGGGTTAGCAGGGAGGGGAGAAGTAGGCGGGGGAAAAATAATTTTAAATCATTTCTTCAATTAAATAAAAATAAATAAATAAATAAAATAAAATTTAACTTAACAAAACAAAACAAAACAACAACAACAACAAAACCAGATCATCTTCCAAGGATCTACTTTGATTTTATCATCCCTTTGTGTATATACAGCCAGATTAAGCGGCTAGCCACCCTAATGACTATCTGGAGCACAAGGGACTGCTAAAACATCAGGAAAAAAAAAGAATAAAAAAGAAAGAAAAGGAAGAAAGAAAAAAATATGATGCTAACTAATTCTTTTCACCACATGTAACGCCTGCCATAAGGGGTGAAATTTCACCTCAACATGGGTCTACTTTATCTGGACAGTCATACTCTGCTCAGATGGGGCAACACTGGGGACAGAATATAAAACGAAACTTCCAGTATTAAATTGTTAGCTTGTCTGGAGTACTTTCACATTTTAATAGGCTTGATCCTGATTTAAAACAATAAAGTCAGTGATTTTCACTTGTTGAATTAAAACAATTCAAAATCCTCATCTTGCATTCAAGGCCATCTTAAACTATGATATGATTTACCCTATTACTTCCTGACATCACATCAACTCCTATTTTTAAAGAGCCTTCTTTACATATCTTGATATTTGGGTTCTGATCCTTGCTCCTCATCATATACCCTTTTTCCTGAACTCTAATCTATAATATTCAGCCAGGCTTAGTTATTGCAGTAAGTCCCCAGATGCCCTTAAGTGCCAGCTTCTACTGCCTGAGACCATATTTTGTACTCTTGAAGTCTTTGACCTAGTTTCACTATTTATATGAAGTAGTTGCAAACTGATGGTCAAGTTTAGCAAGAAAATATAATGTATTTGATTCACAATGGTGTGTGTGTGTGTATGTGTGTGTATGTATTCAATTTGAGTCAGAATTTATAAACCAGCAGATTCAAAATTAAAAATAAAGTCTGAATTTCTGACTTCTCTTGAAAAACTAAGGAATTTGATAGCATCAGGATCATATTCTTCCATGCCAATAATTCTCCAGACTTGAGAAAGTCTTTAGAGACTAAGTTGTACTTTTCCAGTTCTGCTCTCGTAGTTTTGCATATGAGTCCCAGGAGCTTATAACTGTGGCTGGTTAGGGCACCATATCTGCATTGTTTCTAATAGCTGCCTTCCTGGAATTTGTAGGAAACCTCCTATTTTGCTCTGTCTTAAGGAAGCTCAAAGTCTAGAAAAGGAAGATAACAGATTCCCTTCTGAGGGGTAGGATGGCCATCGTCCTGATTTTCTCTTGATAGTCCTGGTTTATACCTCTCGTTTACTCCTTTTGTTCCTTCTGATTAGCAACCCTTTTTATTCTCAAAAGTGTTTTTCTTTGGCTGATAAATTATATAGTCATCCTATTGACGGGTCCATCCTAGAAATACCTCCTTCCTCCACTTCCTGTTTTCTGTTTGTGATCTTCCTTAACCAGGCTTGGAGTCATGGGCAGGAAAGGGTTCTTTCCCAAAAACACTCTTTAGGCATTCAACAGCAGATGGCTAATCCAGGCACAATGTCAAGTATTTTCTTTTAAGAATCTTATATTCAAATATATAGTGTTATTTGATTTTTTTTAAACCAAAGATCTGTGAATATTCTTGTTAAGGAGGAGAAAGGAACAAAAGATAGAGGAAAACATTTCATTGTTTTATTTACATATATTCAAAAAAACTATATAAGGGTGAGTAATTTTTGTGAACAAGTTCTCTTCATGAAGAGAAAACTCAGAAGTTGTCTAACTGTGCTGCAACTCAAAAGGCATTGTAGATATTTCATTCATAGAACCAGCTCGGAGGTAGAGTAAAAAAAATTGCTTCATTTTCTCACTGGAAATTCTTAGTGACCGATGATCTCTAGCTATACCATCTTTGTCTCCTGTTGATCTCTTTAAATTTTTCTCTTCCCTCTTTCTCCACCTTCTTAGCAAGGCGCCTACTCCTAAAACAGAACCACACCACCTTTGCTACCACAGCTACTACCACGAGCAAACAATGATAAAACAATAAGAGGCCAACCGTCAAGTATGTTATATTGTGGGAGAATTGTTTTCCCTTCTCTTCCAGCTCCTCTTGAGTATAGTGAAAGTCGCAGGTACATTTGATAGCTTTATTAAAATTAATTCTGCAACTATAACAAGTAAAAATTTTGAATCAAATTCTATTCTAGGAATAGTAAAGGATTTTAGTAGTATGGATTTGTGAACTGAATGAGGGCAACACAAATAACGTCTACTTTTATTTCATTCACTGAACAAAATATAGAAAGAAAAGATTGAAAATTATAAAAAAATATAGAAAACGATTTAAAATTATGATTAAGATAAATATTACAAAAAAATTTTAAAAATTATTATTCTTTCTCAGAAGACTACATGAAATGAGAGGGAGGGGAAGTCCAGAAAACTTCCTCAAAAATAAAAATATCAGTTTTTCTGTTCAAAAATCTATATACCCTTTCGCACTTTCAAAAGTAACATCGAGAAGTATAGCAAACAAACCGCACCGTCAGACAGAGGCAGTCGTGCAGAATACAGGTGTCATAATTTCCATTAGATAGTAGGAAGTGAAATGTCACTTAACCAGGGTTTCCTGCTCGGTATGTGTGCACCGTGCCTCCCTGCATCAGTTAGGGCCATCTTCACCTTCCCTATTGTAAGAAGTCCCTCTCACACTATGAGAGATGAAGTTATGACATGCAGACTGATTACCAATATGGATGGGAAATTCCTGTTCCCCGATACTTAAAAAAAAATTTCGAAGTATTAAAAACCTTAGTATATTTACTAAGAGTTTTCAAAATTATAAAATACATGGAAAAATAATATAATAATAAACCTGTACACTTCATATTCTTAAAATATTGAGATCTTTCCACTTTTGTTTAATTTTTAAAAAATAAATAGAACATTCCACATATAGTTCAAGAAGTACATATACCATTCCTACATTTCTTTCTCTTCTATCAATCCCCAGTGTCAATTACTGTCTAGAATATGTTCTGTATCCTTTCTATGTTTTTTTTTATTTTGACACATGCAGACATTAATACATTAATAAATAATGTGTGGTTTTAAAATTAAATAAAGTTTATTGTATACATCATTTTCAAATTTTTTTCACTCAGTATTTCAAATGCATGTTGATACGTGTAGACTTACTGTTAATCCATGTCAAATGTATATAGCATTTCTTTTTACGAATATCTTACAATTCATTAGTCTGTTTTTCTACTGATGGTAGTTTGGGGTTCTTTCCTACAATTTTTTGTTATTATAAGGCTACGAACACCTTTGCACCTAGCTCCATGTAGACATAGGAAGGAGATTTCTTAGCTAGAGTATAAAAGTGTGTGAAATTTCTGGGTGAAAGGAATACATTTGAATTTTACCGCCTATGTCCTGTTATGTTTTCTGATTTTACTAACTTGTGTGAGAAATTCTTCATATATTATACATTCTCATGTTTTTTTCTAATGTTTAAAATTTTTCTTCTCAAGTGTAGGGCCTTAATTTTTTGTATAGAAATCTGATATCTCCCACCTCCCCTCAAATGGATAGCCAAAATGCCCTGTTTTTTTCTATTGGATGGTCCATTTTTTTATCCACTAATTCATGTTGCTATGTATTTCCTATGTCAGATTTCTACAAATGCAGGCGCCTATGTTTCTGGGCTCTTTATTCTGTCCCTCCCCCACAACACCACATTGCAAAAATCAATTCTTGAAAAATTATTAAGCTCTTTTAATTACTATAGCTTTTCAATAAGTTTTATCTTCTGTATCTCAAGTCCTTCAACTTACATTTTTCTCAAACTTGTCTTAATAGTTTTAGATTTTTACCATTCTTTTTGAATTTTAGATTTTCATTCAAATTACAAAGAATTTATAGAGTAAGAAATGGTGTTAAAATTGTTTGATTTATGAACCTTTCCATTCCTTTTGATATTCACTAGATTCCTTATATTTTGTAGTTTTCTCCATAAGGGTCTTAAATATCTTTGTTAGATATTGTTATTATTGTCGAGAATGAGAAATTAATTTAATTATCCATTCGTAGAGACTTTTTTCTTTTCTGTTTGGTAGCTTAACATTTTTGTCTATTTTTGATAGTCCGAAGTTTCATTCGCTATGTATCTAAATGTGGACTAATATTTAAAAAATGGTTTTGTACATAGAAATGTATATGCAGTCTTGAGGACTCATATGTTTTTTTTAATTCTGGAGAATTCAACCCTTATTACTCTAAATATAGTCTCTTCTCTATTCCTACTTTTTCAGAAATACCGTTTACATATATATTAAGAATTCTGAATTCATTCTCCAAATTATTCTTTCACTCAAAATATATTTGTTTTTCAGCCTGATTTTTAGTTTAATTCCTAATATTCTTTCTCAGTTCATTTCCAGGATTTCTAACTTGTTCTTCTTTCATATTTCTTTTTCTAAACACAGCTTTAATGACGTATAATTGATATACCAAAAAATACACATATTTATACAATTTGAGGAGTTTTAAACATATGTACCACTGTAACTACCACCACAAGCAAAGTAATAAAGATATCCATCACATTCAAAAGTTTCCTCATGCCCCCTGTGTTTTGGTTTGTGGGGTTGGGGTGGGGTAACACGAGACCTACTCTCTTAACGAATATTTTAAGTCACAAAATTAACTGTTAACTGTAGACACTATTGTGTAGCAGATCTCTAGAACTTATTTATCTTACATAATTGAAACTTTATACCCATTGAACAATTCTCCATTTCCCCGCTGTCCAGGCCCTGTCAACGATCATTATGCTCCCTACTTCTATGAATTTTACTATTTTAGATACCTGCAGTATTTGTCCTTCCGTGATTGGCTTATTTCTCTTAGTATAATGTTCTCCAACTTCATCGGCGCTGTCGCAAATGGCAAATTTCCTTCGTTTTTTTAAAGGTTGAATAATATATATAAATGTATATGATATAGATGAATGTGATATATATCTATACATATCCATTGATACACATTTTGGTTGTTCTTTTGGATATTGTTAATAATGCTGCAATGAACATGGAAGTGCAAGTATTTCTTCAAGATATTGATTATAGTTCTTTTGGGTATATACCCATAAATGGGATTGCTGGATCATATGGTTCTTTTGGATATATACTCATAAATGGGATTGCTGGATCTATTTTTAATTTTTTGAAGAACTTCCATACTGTATTCCATAGTGACTGAACCATTTTATATTTCCACCAATAGTATACAAGGGTTCTAATTTCTCTGCATCATAGCCCATCATAGCCAAGGCTTACTTTAAAAAAAGAAAAATAAAAACCATACTAATATTGTGGGGTGATATTTCATTATGGCTTTGATTTGTATTTCACAGGTAATTAGTAATGTTTTCATATACTTGTTGGCCATTTGTATGTCCTTGGAGTAATGTCCATTCATGTTCTTTGCCTATTGTGTATTCTTAGCACCCCTTGTCAAAGATTAGTTGACCATATATGCATGAGTTTATTTCTGGGTTCACTATTCTGTTCCATTGGTCTACATGCCTGTCTTTATGCCACTCTGATACTGTTTTAATTGCTACAGCTTTGTAATGTATTTTGAAATCAGGAAATGTGATGCCTCAAGCTTTGTTCTTTTTGCTCAAATTGCTTTGGCCGTTCAGGATCTTTTGTGGTTACATATTAATTTTACAATTGTTTTATCTATTTCTGTAAAGATTGCCATTTATATTTTGATGGGGATAGCGCTGAATCTGTAGAGTGCTTTGGATAATACGGGTATTTTAACAAAATTAAGTCTTCCAATCTATGAACCCAGTATGTCTTTCCATTTATTTGTGTCTCTTTAATTTCTTTCATCAATGTTTTATAATTTTATAATTTGCAGTATAGAAGTTAAAACTCCTGGTTAAGTTTATTGCTAAGTATTTTATTCTTTTTGATGCTATTGTAAATGGTATTGTTTTCTTAATTTTATTTGTTGATAGTTACTTGTTAGTATATAGAAACAACTGATTTTTTATGCTGATTTTGTATCTTGCCACTTTACTGAATTTATTAGTTTTTACAGTTTTTTTTTTTGAGTACTTAGGATTTTCGATATGTAGTATCATGTTATCTACACATAGAGATAATTTTACCTCTTACTTTCCAATTTGATGACTTTTATTTCTTTTCCTTGCCTAATTGCTCTGTCTAGACCTTCCAATACTATGTTGAAAGAAGTGGCGAGAGCAGGCATCCTAGCCTTATTCCTGATCTTAGAGGAAAAGTTCAGTTTTTCACCACTGAGTATGATGTTAGCTGTGTGCTTGTCATACATGTCATTTATTATGCTGAGTTTCACTCCTTCTACACTCAATTTGTTGAGCGTTTTTATCATAAAAAGATGATGCATTTAGTCAAATGGTTTGTCTGCATCTATTGAGATAATGGTGTGATTTTTTTTAATCCTTTATTCTGTCAATGTGCTGTATTACATTAAGTGATTTGTGTATATTAAATCACCCTTGCATTCCCAGGACAAATCCCACTTGATCATGCTGTATGATCCTTCTAATGTGCTAATAAATTCAATTTGTTACTATTTTGTTGAGGATTTTTATACGTACATTCATCAGGGATATGGGCTCGTAATTTTCTTTTGTTGCAGTGTTTGTCTGGGTTTGGTATCAGAGTAATGTTAGTCTCATAAAATCATTTTGGAAGTGTTCCTGCCTCTTCAGGTTTTTTGGAAGAGTTTGTAAAGAATTGGCATTAATTCTTCTTGAAATATTTGGTAGAATTCACCAGTGAAGCCATCTGCTCCTGGGCTTTTTTTGTTGGGAGGTTTTTGATTAGTGATTCAAGCTCCTTACTCATTATTTGTCTGTTCAGGTTTTCTATTTCTTGATGGGTTGTATGTTTACAGGACTTTATCCATTTCTTCCAGATTATCCAATTTGTTGATGTGTAATTGGTATTATCTCTATTAAAAAAATACTTTGTTATTCTTTTTGTGGATTTTTCCCTCTTTCTTCACCTACTAATTTCTCTATTATTTTTGTCTCATTTGGAGTGTTTTAATCTGTGTTGATTTCCTTGTGGTCTTTCTTAATTATTGTATTTTCAAATTTTATCTTCAGATTTATATTGGGTAGTTGTTGTTTTGTTTTTTGTTTTTTCCTTTTCTTTCTGTACTCATTATTCTTTATCTAAAAGTTTTACAGTTGCCTCCAGCTAGCTTTGAGCTCCCTGAGGGCCTGTCCTGCCAGGACAAAGAAATCCAGTTATCTAGCTGGATCAAGTAGTTAGAGTCAGGTACAGTCTGGGAGTCTGGTCAGTGTCTGCCCTGTGAATACCTCCACAGAAAGTGATTAGTCTAGCTCTTTTTCTCTTTCACAGCTGCAAGAAAACCATTCTCCAACCCTTAGTTTGTGGCATTGAACCTGACTCTGACCCCAGAATAATGTAGGAGTACTTGAGACCATAGTTTCTCACCTTTTCTCTACTTACATGCTTTTCTGACTCATTCTGGTCTGCAGAAATACTTATTTGCTTTGTATTTAGAGTGGAGAAGGGAGTTTGGGTGGCGCGTGTGTGTGTGGGGTCCTAACTGTATAAACTTCATCTACACTGCCGATCATAGCCTTCATAGATAGAAAAAGCTTATTTAAAAAGAAAAGGTATTTGCCAGATAAATCTTTTTTTATTACTTGTGATCAAAGTAAGGGGATGGCAAAATAACATTTATGAATGCCTACTGCATGCCAGATACAATTCTTAGTGGTCTATATAACTTATCTTATTTAGTCCCCACTAAAATTTCATGTTGAACTAAGGATCAATGATCACATTGCTAGTATTTGGTTGAGTTGGGATTCAATCCAAATATAAGCTCCTGAGAGCATAACTTACTTTATTAATTGCCCTATTCCCAGGAACAAAATGGACTTAAAATACCTGGCATATAGCAAGCACTCAATAATATTTAATGAATGAACAAATGTTTCTTCTCTGTGTTCTTTCTACAATTGTTTTTATTCATATTTCTTGACCCCTATATAAAACACTCAATCACTATCCTATTCATAGTTATTTAGCATAAGGACCTCTTTCTTTGCCTTGTTCTCTTTTCTGTTTTCTATTTGCCTAGCACTAGATATCTTGACCCTCACCCCAATGGGTGAATGTCTCTACATTTCTCCTAGAGCTCACATCTCGTCAATAAACTAGAATTGGAACTAAAATATTTACCTGCATAGGCTAATTCCCCATAACTGACATTCTCCAACTTCCTCAGGCCGCACTTAACAATATCATACTCATATCCCGTCTTAACCACCTCAAACGCGTGCAGCCAGGGCACTTGCTGCATAAGTGGAAAAGGCAAATGAAGCTATGTCTGGGCAATTTGGATAATGCTACCCCTCACCCCAAGTTCTGACTGTCAAATTATTTTGGCTGATTATGTTTTAAATTATAGCTCCAGATGGAATTAAAATATAAATTAGGCTTTAAAATATAGTTTTTTTTTTCACTCTCTCCCTTTTTTAACAATACACTGATATTAAGAAGTAATTTGGCTGATGAATTAGTATGTATGTGGATATGCTCTCTCAGCACAGCTTGAGAAAAGTAGGAGCAATCATGGGTCTCACTCACTGCAATTGATTTCTAAAGAGAATGCAAAGCAATTAAGAAAGGAGAAAAATCATGCATTCTAAATCTGTGTGCTACAAGAAAAACATTATTATTTGACAGAGCCTGTAAAGAGCTTTGCATGGTTCGTGGTACACCTACCCCTACTGCTGCACTGATTTCTCAAGACTCAATCCATGTTGATTGCAAAGCTTGAAATGACTTGGAATACTGTCATCTTGGAAGATGGAGAGTAAGAAGGAGCTCAATTTCAAAGTCGAGGACAATTAACTAGCATTTCTTTTAGTTTTGGGCCCAAATGGAGAGCAGGGAAAGGCAATTGATGGCTCCTCTATGCTAATTACTGGAGAATTTTTAACTTCTTTTCATTTAACTTCTGCAACTAATTAGCAACAGAGATAAACCATCCTCATACCGCATGCACACAGCAGAACTGGAAATAGCCATAGAGATCATTTAGTTCCCTACCTGACTAAGCATTAGAGTGTGATCAAAACAGTCTGTGGATTAACTGCTTTAGAAACATGAGGAGTCTATTAAGCGTACTGCATCCTGGACTTCACATCTAGAGGTTAGATTTTAAACAAGTACTTCAGGTAAATTTGGGGCAGCTGATCCACAGATAATATTTAAAACTCTTTTAAGAGTCTCAGTCATTTTATACACGAGGAAATGGCGCAGATGTAGCATGACAGAATCACTTGGGGAGTTTTTCAGAATATGCTAGATAAGTCAAGGCAAGTCTAGGCTACCATGGCTAAACTCCCTAAATCTCAGCAGTTTAAACAACCAAAATTTATTTCTTGCTTACACTATCTGTCTGTCATGAGTACTGGTTGCTCCGCAATGCAGGCAGAGGGGACCTCATCCCAACATGTGCATTTGTATAAGGTGGCTGAATAGGTAAGAAAACAAGAACTTTACATGTGCTGCCTGCAAGAGACTCATTTCAGATAGAAAAACACACACACAGAATGAAAGTAAAGGGATGGAAAAGATATTTTGTGAAAATAGAAGAAAGAAAAGGGAATACTAATACTAGACAAAATGGACTTTAAAACAAAGGCTGTAACAAGAGAGAAGGTGGACCCAGTAATCCAAATTCTGGGTATTCAACCAAACAAACTCCAAACACTACTACGAAGGGAGATGTGCATCCATATGTTCATTGCAACATTATTTACAATAGCCACGACATGGAAGCAACCTGGGTGTCCATCCATAGATGAATGGATAAAGAAGAGGTGATGCATATATAAAATGGAATATTACTCAGCCATAAAAAAGAATAAAATCTTTCCATCTGCAACAACAACGTGGATGGACCTAGAGGGTATTGTGCTGAGTGGAGTAAGTCAGACAGAGAAAAACACATGCCATATGATTTCACTTACATGTGAAATCTAAAGAACAAAATAAAAGAACAAACAAAACAGAAATAAACTCATGGATACAGAGAATATTTTGGTGGTTGACTGATGGGAGGGGTTTGGAGGGTGGGTGAAAAGGGGAAGGGATTAAGAAGTACAAATTGGTAATTACAAAATAGTCATGGGGATGTTAAGTATAGCATAAGAAATATAGTCAAGAATATTGTAAAAATTATGTGTCAGACGGATACTGGACTTACCGGGGTGGTCACTTTGTAAGTTGTATAAATGTCTAATCACTATGTTGTACACCTGAAACTAATAGAGTATTGTGTGCCAACTGTAATTGAAAAATTAAAAAATATATATTTAAAGCAAAATGCTTTTGTAATCGCAAATGCAGGAATAGTGGAGAAAGGCAACCCGTGTACAAGCTTTTAAAGATCTGGTATAAGTACGGTTAAACAAGCAGTATCATTGATGGTCTAAGGAGTCAGACAGACGTGCGTTTAAATCGTCCTGCTCCTTTTATATACCGTATGACTATGGGCAAATTTTTAACTTCTTTGAGTCTCTGCTCATCTGTAAAGTGGGGATGATAATATTGACTATTTTTAATGGTTTTTATGAGGCTTATAGTGAACATTCAGATTTATTATTTTTATCAAACTAGGTGTAAAAAGGTATCTTGAAAGCAAAAGAAGAGCTAGTTGGAGAGACACCCTTGTTACACCAGCATTCACGTTTTGAACCTTAGTCATCCTTTTTGCTATATTTAAAGTTCCTTCTTTTCATCACCTTCTGTCTCCTGCATCCTATCCTTCCTACAAGATCTGGCTTATTCTCCATGTCCTTCTGCCATGAGACATCATCAGTCCATTAATTCAGCATAGCTATCAATAGTCTACCATGTTACGGGCACTGTGTTTGGTGCTGGAGGAAATTAATTAAATATGTTCCATGTTTTTGAGGTATTTACAGTCTAGAGGAGGAGCAAAGATAAAAGAAAAATGAAGTAACATACTCTAGTAGAAGCCAATGTATCCATGATGCAATGAGAATATGGAGGATAATACTCAGTTTATGTAACAGCCTGAGCTGCCTGTCCCAAGAACAGAGCAAGAGAAGAGGGCATTCCAGGAAGAGGACGCGGCTTGTGCAAAGACAGGGAGGCACTGGCCATGGGTATTCTAGGGTCCACAAATAGGGAAATATTGCTAATGTGGAAAATGTGAATAGGTAGGTAGGCGTTAGGGGCTTTGGAAAGGGTTGTTAGGATAAATAAATAGCAAAATCTTAAAGATCTATCAGTGTATATGCTTTTGGTTTAGATATTTTCCCCATGTAAACAAAAGAGAGTCACTGACAAATTTGACCAGGGGTCTATCAGGACTAGGTTGGCATTTAAAATAGTAC